CGAGCGGCGGGTGAAGAAGCGGAGAGCAAGGTCTGTCGCCCCCCACCCCACCCCGACATAACCCCCTGTCATAGTAGACTTTTTATTTCTTTATTTTTTTACTGCCAGAATGAAATCTCCATGTGTAAACGTGACACGCTCAAGCCTTAGGAGTGTCTCCCATCCCAGAGTTTCTCATACTTCAGCGCCCTCGGGAGGGCTTATTAAAGCACGGATCTGAGGGTCCGGGCCCCACCTGCAAAAGTAACTGACTTACTATTCAGTGGGGCTGGAGTTGGGCCCAAGAATCTGCACATCTTACAAATTCCCAGCTGATGCTGAAGCCGTTGGGCTGCGTGGCCCACGCTTTGAGGGGCCCCCCTCCTACACCCCCAGGCCCTTGTTGGTTTCCAAGTTCTGATCATGTGAACGGAAGCGGACAAAGTTGGTTTCCATCGTGGATGCTGGGCCCCTTCCTTCCTTTTCCCCCCAAGGCTGCTGGTGTGGGTGGCTGGATCAAGGGGGATACAGCTCTGGTTCTTTGCAAGGCTGCTTCTGAACCGCCTGCCACCCCTCAGCGTGTGCAGAGCACTGTGTGTGGCCAGAGTTTGAGTAATCTTACAGCTCTTTTCCTCTAACCCTTCATTGTGGAGACGGAAGGGTTGAAGCAAGGCCCCTGAGCTCGTTCGTGGCAGAATCGACTTGAGCGGTCATCCCCCCGTCCCAGGGCTCCTTCCTCTTCACCCCTCTGGCTCCCCTGCCTTCCTTTCTCCCTCTGTCCCCTCTCAGCCATCTGGAGTGACAGCTAAGGAGGTGAGCCCTGGGTGAGCTGGCGGCAGGCCGGCACGCAGAGGCGGGCGGGGGCCCTTCCAGACCCTTTAGCACCGCTCTGCTCTCAAGCCTGCAGCGGGCCCCGTCCTGATGACTTTCTGTTGCCCGCCAGGCTGGTGGTGGCCGTGGAGGAGGCCTTCATCCACATCCAGCGTCTCCAGGCCGAAGAGCAGCAGAAAGCCCCAGGGGAGGTGATGGACCCCCGGGAGGCCGCCCAGGCCATCTTCCCCTCCATGGCCCGCGCTCTGCAGAAATACCTGCGCACCACTCGACAGCAGCATTACCACAGCATGGAGAGCATCCTGCAGCATCTGGCCTTCTGCATCACCAACAGCATGACCCCCAAGGTGCCACCTGTCCCTGAGCCTGGGAGGTCCCACTGTCGGGTGTGCCCGGGAGCAATATGGTCAAAGTCTTCTCTAAAGCACCGACTCGTGAGAATTCATGACTCCCACTTAACTTTGTATTATCTCGGTGTGATTGGTTTTTGTTAAATGGCCCTTTGACAGCCTCTAGGTTCACGCAGAGGAAGGACTTTGACTTAGAGACAGTATAGGCAGTAGTTCAAGGTACTCGGCGGGTTCTGGAACCGAGCAGACTCCTTCTAACCTTCCTCCTCCACCAACAAGCTGGTCACCTTGGGCAAATGCTTCGATGGCTCTGTGCCTCACTTTCCTGCTCTATCCATTGGGGCTAATGGTTAATACCTACCTCATCAGGCTGCTTTGGGAACTCAAAGAGCTCGTTCATATGAAGTGCTTAGAACAGTGCCCATCGTATGGTAAGGACTGAATAAATGACTGTTATTAGTGGAGGAAAGAATGCCAGCACTCTGTTAGGCGTTTTGGATGTCGTGGAGTTAGTTTTGCTTGAATGGTGTTTGAATTATGACGTGAGCATACTTTCAGGGATATTGCAGGAAATGGCTGTGCATCTCAGAGAGGGCTGTGGCCAAGGAAGCAGAATAGAGTAAATGACCAGTCACCAGACAGAGGGGAGCTCAGATCCCAGCTCCACCAGTTGATTGGTTGGTGACTTTGTAGAAGTCACTCTACATTTGTTTCCTCTTTTATAAAATGGGGACGGTGGCAGCATCTACCCGATAGGGCTGTTGTGTGAAAGTCATGTTAAATGTGGCAACACGACGTGTAAATCACAAGGTAGGGAGTAAATGAGCTTGGCATACAGTGCTCATGAAATGATTGGTGGTTTTTGTTCTAAGGGCCCGTGTACACGCATCGCCCTGTACGTGTACAACGTGTGGCTGTGTTGTCACTCATCAGTAGCAACCGTCAGGAAAGCAATACAGAGATATTCAGTGGGGGTCTGTAAGGTTTTCCATTTTCTTTGACTCACTAATTCCTCTCCTAGAAAAAGTATTCAGCGCAGTCACATACATATACAAATATACGTGAAGGTGATTTTTGCAAAATAATCTGGAATAACTCCACGCCGGCCGTCACTTAAAAATAGAACAGTGGCTTATAAATCACGGTATGCCACCTGTTAAAAGTAGAAGAATCTTTGTTAGAATATTAAGTCACAAAAAACGGAATGCAAGAAAGTACGAATATGATACATCTACACATGCAAAGTGATAGCTGATACCATGTGGAAAGGAAGCCGTTTTCCTTTTATTTGAGATGTCTTACTGCCCTGGTTGCTTTCGTTTTCGTTTAAAAAATGTATACTTTTGGGGTGCCTGGGTGGCTTAGTGGGTTAAGTGTCTGGCTTTGGCTCAGGTCATGATCTCATAGTCTGTGAGTTCGAGCCCCGCGTCGGGCTCTGTGCTGACAGCTCAGAGGCTGGAGCCTGCTTTGGATTCTGTGTCTCTCTCTCTCTCTGTCTCTCTCTCTCTCTCTGCCCCTTCCCCCCGCTCATGCTCCATATCTCTCTCTCTCTTTTTTTTTCTTTCAAAAATAAACATTTAAAACAAAAATGTATACTTTTTCTGAATTAAAACTCATTTCACACTCTTTCTTTGTGTAAAAATCCAGGCATTAAAGAAAAATATAATGTGCAAAGGGAACTCTCCATTCTACTACCCTAAACTGTTCGTAGTGATAAGGAGTCCGTATGTATGCTTCCAGAGGGGGTGTGTGTGTGTGTGTGTGTGTGTGTGTGTGTCTGTCTGTCTAAAGTAGAAGTGGAAAAAAAAGCAAACCACAAATGGGAGCTTATGCACACACACGCACACACACACGCAGTTTGGAAACTTGCTTTTTTCATTTAAAACGATCCCTTGGGGGGCGCCTGGGTGGCGCAGTCGGTTAAGCATCCGACTTCAGCCAGGTCACGATCTCGCGGTCCAGGAGTTCGAGCCCCGCATCAGGCTCTGGGCTGATGGCTCAGACCTGGAGCCTGTTTCCGATTCTGTGTCTCCCTCTCTCTCTGCCCCTCCCCCGTTCATGCTCTGTCTCTCTCTGTCCCAAAAATAAATAAACGTTGAAAAAAAAAAATTAAAAAAAAAAAAAAAAAAAAAAAAAAAAAAAAAAAAAAAAAAAACGATCCCTTGGCTGTTTTCCCATGTCAGTACCTTCCAGATCTCTGTCCTACAGATCTAACTCGTTCTCTTTAGTAGTTGCATCTTATTCCACTGAATAGCACGATTTGTTTAACCAGTGCTTACGATGCACATCTGGATTAAGATCTTTCACTAGTTTAAACCAGGGCTCAGCTGTTTTTGTTAATCGAGTTTTATTGGAACACAGCCACACCCTTTTATTTCCATATCGTCTATGGCTGCTTTCTCTCTACACAGACTGAGTTGACCAGTTGTGCCAGAGTGTGGCTTGTGAAGCTGAAAATATTTACGTTAGAGAAAATGTTGCCAACCCCTGGTCTAAACAGGGTTGCAGCAAATATCTTTTTTACATGTCTTTGTGCATCTGTGTAACTATTTCCGAAAGATAAATTTCTGGAAGAGGAACAGCTAGATCAAAGGTACAGATCTTGCCAAATTGTCCTTCCTAGGCATGTTACTATTTTACACTTTTGCCTCTGAGATAGGATTGTTTATTTCTCCCACACAATTGGCGTGTTGGGTGTTACCATCCTTTTTAATCACTGTCCACATAAGAGGAAAAAAAATATTTTTCATTTTAATTCCTGTTTCTTGAATTATTAATGTGGTAGAACATCTTTTTTACTATGTTAATTTTCTATTAATATTTATTCTATAAATTATTAATTTCATTTCTCTAATTGCTGAGTTATTTCTTTTTCTCATGATTCATAAGAGCTGTTTCTTTTTTGTGAGAGAGAGAGAGAGAGAGAGGATGAGCAGGGGAGGGGCAGAGAGAGAAAGAGAATCTTAAAAAAATTTTTTTTAAATGTTTATTTTTGAGAGAGAGACAGCATGAGTGGGGAAGGGGCAGAGAGAGAGGGAGACAGAGAATCTGAAGCAGGCATAGAATCTGAGCTGTCAGCACAGAGCCCGACGCAGGACTTGAACTCACAAACCATGAGATCGTGACCTGAACCAAAGTCGGATGCTTCACCGACAGAGCCATCCAGATGCTCAGAAGGAGAGAGAGAATCTTAAGCAGGGGCTCAATC